TTCGAATGAAAAATGGAATCAAACTAAACCAAAACAGTGTAATTGAATGAGTCAAAATAGATTACACTGGTATTGAATTGTTAAGAATATATATAGTTTGGACGAAACAAGTAATTTTTACCATTATTTATTGATATTTATTATTATCAATTACAAAAACTTAATATTTAACGAGAAATTGGCGTAGGAGTTTCATTTAGGTCACTACATCTGTTCCAAATTTTATTAGCCTTGAAAAGACTTTTGGGAGCAAAACGTTTGAGATTATACAACTTAAATACTATCTTTGTAGACGCCATGTGACACTCTTTCCCAACTTGCACTATCTTCAGACAACAATCTTTCGAAGTAGTTTTGTTTTGGATAATGTCGTATAACACTTCGTCATTGCACTTAGCCCCCTCTTCTTAAGGCAATTTAAGACATAGTTCATAAGTTCTGATGATTCTTTGTTCAACATATCATCATTATATCCTCTTGGAGCCGGTGTTTTTGCAAACTCTCTCTCTAAACTGGTGTCAGGATCGAGCAAGGGCTCGTCGTCATTTTTGGTGGCTAAACTAGGACAAGCAGACGATATTAAAATGGTGATTAAGAGAAATCCCATGAAAAATGTCTTGATCTCCATTTTCTATTTGTCAAAATACAATTTACTCCTTTTTCTCTTAATTTCTTTCTTACCCCTTCTATTTATATATAGGATTGGTATCTAATCTGATAGAATTTAATAAATACAATTTACTCATTGTTATTGTAACGTTTAGAATTTAATAAAATTAAGAGTTTTTTTTTTTTTTTTTTGCTTTTCTCATCGATATGGTTTACTTATTTATTAGTTCCAATACTAACATACATCTTACTTTGCTTAACGTCTCACGTCATTATAGACTAGTTCATTAAAGGTACTTGATGTTAGAGTTAATTGGTCAAAACGACCAAAAACAGTAGGATTTTTGTTTTTTTTTAAAAATAGCCATTTAAATATTTTGATAAAAAAGTTATGAGAGTGGAGTGATCAATATTTTAAATATTACTACTGAACTTCCCTTTTAAGCTATTAACACTAAAAGTTTTGTCGATAGACCGACTTTAATCATCAATCTTCTCTAAGTAGGTAAGAAAAGAACATTTTCAAATGGTTTTTCGTCCCAAAGAATAACAACCGGTTTTCGTTTCATATTTGTTTGAGTTAGAGACTTTTAATAAAAATAACTCAAAGTTCAAAACTGATAGAAATGATATATGGGCTTAAGAAATGTGGCCCATTCAATTTTCGACGTGTTAAATAGTCGCGTTTTCCACGAAATACACGTGGCGGAATATAAATGGAGAGGAATGATGTTACAGAAACGAAGCAATAACGGAGAGAGAAACCAGGATCTATCATACTTTGCAAGCTTCTTCTCTTCGTCTCTCGCAGAGACTCGCAAAACAAAATACACACAAAGCGTAGCTTCTTTTAGCTTCCAGATCTGCTCACTTTCTTCTTCTTCTGTGGAACCGCCATGGCTATGGAGTTTCGGAGCAGTTCCAGAAGAAGACAAATTTTTGGATCTGTAATTGCCGCGATTCTTCTGCTCTTTATCCATGGTGCTCACTCTTTCTACCTCCCCGGTGTCGCTCCTCAGGATTTCGAAAAGGTAACGTCTCAGTTTCTCATCTTATTTGTTGGGATCTGATTTGGATCTCTCGGATCTGGTTTTGAACTTTTTGTTTGGAGGTTAGAATCGTAGTGACGATGCACCGACATTCGGTGTTTAACATTTCTCGAGAATGATGTGTATATTGTGATGGTTGAGGCACGAAAAATTCTCCTTCTTCTTTACTTCGTAGATCTCCTGATCTGTACAATGTCGCATTTCACAAGAGCTTCGTCAATGTTTCCTCTTCGGGAGTAGCCTTGGCCGTTGCAATTTTGCTTTTTTTTTTTTTCCATCTATTTGTAATGAATGATTCGCTTCTCATTATAGAAAAGCGTACTATCGCTAACTAAAACAAACCTCTATAAAGTTTTGCATGCATGTTTAATTAGAATCATAGAAATTGACAATATTTTAGGTGGCTAATAATAAATTCTACTTAGAGGTCCAAGCTGAAATTGAATATTCAAGTGTTGATCTTTGTTATCTGCAGGGCGATGAGCTGAAGGTGAAAGTAAACAAGTTGAGCTCCATTAAGACTCAGCTTCCGTACTCGTATTACTCTCTTCCTTTCTGCCGCCCTAAGAAGATAGTGGACAGTACTGAGAATCTTGGAGAAGTGCTTCGTGGTGACCGGATCGAGAATGCGCCTTATTCGGTTTGTCTCTGTTTTGTTTGAATATGGCTGATGCTTGGGTTATTATTATTCATCTCTGGTAAAAAAAATTGAGCCTTTCCCTTTACTTTATCCCTGACTCAATAATGCAGTTTAAAATGCGAGAGGCACAAATGTGCAATGTTCTCTGCCGAGTCACTCTTGATGCAAAGACTGCCAAGGAATTCAAAGAGAAGATTGATGATGAGTATCGGGTCAACATGTAAGACCTCGAATATGAGCCTCTCTCTGACTTTCTAATGAATAGCATGTTCTCTCTCTGTTACTTTTTCTTATGCTTTGCTTGTTTGTGTGTTAGGATCCTCGATAACCTTCCTCTAGTGGTACCAATCGACAGACTTGATCAGGGTTCTCCCTCTGTTGTGTATCAGCTCGGTTATCATGTCGGTCTTAAAGGCCAGTATGAGGGTGTAAGTAGGATTGAAATGTTTACTATTTGCATTGCACGTGATAACACGATTTTCTAAGCTGCCCTTTGAATTTACAGAGCAAAGAGCAAAAGTACTTTATGCACAATCACTTGGCATTCACTGTCCGGTATCACAGAGATATGCAAACCGATGCTGCAAGGATTGTGGGATTCGAGGTCAAACCATACAGGTGCAATTCTTGTTACCAAATTGAACTCTTGGGATCCCGTCTATTTTCAGTACTAAATGTCTTTACCTTGATTTGTAGTGTCAAGCATGAATACGAAGGAAAATGGAGTGAGAAGACCCGTTTGACTACCTGTGATCCCCACACGAAGCGCCTGGTTGTTAGCTCAGCTACCCCTCAAGAAGTCGACAATAAGAAGGAAATTATCTTCACATATGATGTTGATTTTCAGGCAAGTTCTTGTTCGATTAATCAGTATATAACCTGATAGTTATCTCCTAGTGAGATTATAATGTGTTCCCGTTCTCACTGTTTTGCCATTGCTGTCCCTTTAGGAAAGTGAAGTGAAGTGGGCGTCTAGATGGGATGCTTATCTACTGATGAGCGACAATCAAATTCACTGGTTCTCTATTGTCAACTCTCTGATGATTGTCCTCTTCCTCTCTGGTATGGTAGCGATGATAATGCTGAGGACCCTTTACCGCGACATTTCACGGTACAATGAGCTTGAGACTCAAGAAGAAGCTCAAGAAGAGACAGGGTGGAAACTTGTCCATGGCGATGTTTTCAGGCCTCCAACCAATTCGGATCTTCTCTGCGTCTATGTTGGCACAGGTGTTCAGTGTTTAGGCATGGTACTTGTCACTATGATCTTCGCCATGCTCGGATTTCTCTCCCCGTCCAATCGTGGAGGTCTTATGACAGCCATGCTCCTCCTATGGGTCTTCATGGGCCTCTTTGCCGGTTACGCCTCTTCGCGTCTCTACAAAATGTTCAAAGGAACAGAATGGAAGAGAATTGCCTTCAGAACAGCCTTCTTGTTCCCTGCAGTCGTCTCAGGCATCTTCTTCGTCCTAAACGCTCTCATCTGGGGGCAGAAATCATCTGGAGCTGTTCCCTTCGGGACAATGTTTGCTCTGATCTTCCTCTGGTTTGGGATCTCGGTCCCTCTTGTCTTTGTTGGAGGTTACATCGGATTCAAGAAGCCAGCGCTCGATGATCCCGTGAAAACCAACAAAATCCCAAGGCAAATCCCAGAGCAAGCTTGGTACATGAACCCGGTTTTCTCAATCCTTATTGGAGGAATCTTACCGTTCGGTGCAGTCTTCATCGAGCTCTTCTTCATCCTCACATCCATCTGGCTCAACCAGTTCTACTACATCTTCGGTTTCCTCTTCCTCGTGTTTGTAATCCTTATGGTCACCTGCGCCGAGATAACCATTGTTCTCTGCTACTTCCAGCTTTGCAGTGAAGACTACCTCTGGTGGTGGAGGTCTTACCTCACCTCGGGTTCTTCTGCGCTCTATCTCTTTCTCTATGCTGCCTTCTATTTCTTCACAAAGCTCCAGATCACGAAGCTCGTCTCGGCTATGCTCTACTTTGGGTACATGCTCATCGCTTCTTATGCGTTTTTTGTGCTGACCGGAACAATCGGATTCTATGCTTGTCTCTGGTTCACAAGGCTCATCTATTCCTCGGTTAAGATCGATTGATTTCAGAAAAACAGTGCAGAGAGAGAAAGAAAGAAAGAAGGTAATATAGTTTTTCACAAGTTTTTAAAGCTTTGATTTTGTTCAATAGGTCCTTTCTTGTTTCGCTCTGTTTTTGTTTACAGTAACAAAAGAAGGGGTTTTTATATGTAAAACCTTCTTAGAGTGTATTCTGTTTGATTTCCCAAATGACACTTTGGATTATTTTTCTGGATGACAGTATGTGATTCTTTCATTTCTATTTATATTCTTTTTAGTAATTGATATCGATAATCCGCGTTTGGCCGCTAAACACATCGTTATTAACTGCGGACACAAAGAAACAAAATAATTTTATTATTGGTCGGTCGCTCATCGTCCTCGTAATTTCAATTAAATGCCTGACATAATGACGCTTCTTTTTATGTTCTTCCATCTCCGACCGTTATTAAAAAAATGATTTAATACAATCTAAGTTCTTGGAATCCGAGTCCCAATGGAGACTTGGTACGGACTCGACCGTTACACTTAGCAGAGTAAGCAGCAAACACCATTCACTTCCAACGGATACTTTCTTCATCTATATATATATATATATATACAGACCCAATCATTCTCAACAGAGCTCAAATAAGCCACAGCAATCTCTCTCTCTCTCCCTCTCATAAAGAACTTATAACCCTAATGGCTCGGAGAACTCTTGTTGAAGCCTCCTCTCTATTCTTCTTCTTGTTGATGGCTGATCTCGCCTGTTGCAAAGAGATTCTGGTCGGAGGCAAACCCAGCGCCTGGAAAATCCCTTCTTCCCCTTCTGATTCCCTCAACAAATGGGCTGAGAGTTTGCGATTTCACGTCGGCGATTCTCTCGGTGAGTTTCCCACCAAGTTCAAATCCAAAGTTCAGCTCCTTTTAGACTTTAAAATTTGTTAACTCTTGTGAGTGTGTTTTACGCATAATGTTGACAGTGTGGAAGTACGATGGGGAAAAGGACTCGGTTTTGCAAGTGACAAGAGAAGCGTACATTAACTGCAACACCTCAAACCCAGCTGCCAATTACAGCAATGGAGACACCAAGGTGAAGCTAGAGAGATCTGGTCCTTTCTTCTTCATCAGCGGCTCCAAAAGCAACTGTGTCGAAGGCGAGAAGCTTCACATTGTCGTCATGTCCTCTCGTGGTGGCCACACCGGTGGTTTCTTCACCGGCTCTGCTCCTTCTCCTGCACCTTCCCCTGCTCTTTTGGGAGCTCAAGCTGTTCCTCCTGCCACCGGTTCTGCTTCTTCTTTGACCTGTCGAATTTGGAGTTTGGGACTTGTTGGACTGGGGATTGTTTTGCTCTGATTTTACCCGGCTTTGTTTAGATTCTTCTATCTCTGCTTTTCATTCTTTTATCCATGAGATGGCTATGTTTAAATTCTTTTGGATCTTTGACAATGATGGTGTATTCCCGATTATATTAGACGAACTTCTTCTGAAATCAGTTGCTAACATAATGCAATGTACAGCATACACCAATCCTAACTATAGTTCCAACAAAAAAAAACACACCATTATAGATGAGTTGAGAAAACCAACTTCTCTCGGAAGAACGATGGTGACGTCACCATGGTGCATGCCACAAACACAATCCAAAAAGGAGAAGCAGCTGCAATAAAGATGAAGAAGAGGAGAGTTTTAAGGACCGAGAATTTACAAATAAGTGACTGACAAACGCAATGATTTACACAAACAGAACAGATACTGATTAGCAAAAATATATACAATACATTTTACGTAATTTTTGAAAGAACAACTCATAAAGAGGCCACAATTTTCAAAATTCTCATGGGATAGCCGTTTCTATTTATAAGAAAGTATCTGTTTATTATCACAATATGATAATAAATGGCCAATGGGACAATATATGTCAATCTGGAGATTTGCTTTCAGATGTCAGAGATAGCCAAGAGAGTAATACCATGATAAATTTGGTGGTAATCAAGCTGTACCAACTTCAACATCATCTGAACCATCAGCTGCCGCCATTAGAGGTCCCTTCAAACCATTTTCATTGTTACCATTAAGCTCACGAGCTGCCTTTTCAAGAAATTCTTTTGCAGCAGACTGAACAGACTGTTTCTCATTTGATTGGTATTTCCTCTTTTTCGCACTTGTTTCTGAATACCTGATCCTTGATTTCTCTCCTTTACTGAGGTCTCTAATGTTTTGCTTTTGGGCTACATTCATTTAGCAACGATTGTTAGAGAAGCATTGGACATAAAAGGAAAAGGAAAAGTTAGGAACAAAAAATTTTCATATAAGCTTACCCGATGTAAGATCAGGCAGAGAGTGTTCGATGAAACGAGTTGCTGCCTGACGATTTAAGACAGTACTCGGACGCAACGGTTCTAAGATTCAAAAAAAAAAAAAAAAGGAGAGAAATGTATAAGAGATTATCTAGTGGATAAGACATTGAATTAAAGGTAGCAATTCAGTCTCTAACTATATCGAACTAATCAGTATTAAATAGCAACTAGACAAAACAGTCCTAAAGAAGCTCACAAGACGTTCTACAAAATGCAGCGCATAATTGTTATGAATCGAGTAAACATCTCCTCAACAGAACTATATAAGGTTGATAAACGAAGATAAGAGATTAGCTCCTCCCAACTAAAGATAGCAGTCAAGAACAAATGGATCTTCAACAAAAAGGAAAAATCGCCGTGTCGGCGGCACATAACAATCAGCAATTACTTACCAATGAATTCAAATCAAATTAGTTTAATGGAAGTGCATCTTGTCAAAAACAAAGTTGAAACATTAAACCTTTTGATCATAAATCAGTCTCTTATCTTCAACGATAACAGAGAATATAGCAAACAAATCAGTCTCTTCGTTTTCAATAGACTAAAAAGGTGTCCCAAAAGGTAATATAACACTTGTTTTTAAAAGCAATTGGGACATAATCTCCCTTAAGTTTAAGATGATAGGTAGATGAAATAGTCAAGTGACGACAAGCTAAGCCCAGAACAACGCATTAGGCGCGAGACATTATGATAAGCCTTCCGATGGGTTACACCACTTCAGTAAACTTAGTTGAAATACTACTCCCCTGCATTTAAGATGTGTGTATTATTCAACGACAAGATACCCAGAGGATTGCATTTACCGCATGAGAAATGGCTAGCACCAGTCATTCTCTTAACAAATAAGACTGGCTAAGACAATTACAAACTGAGAGCTGATAAATCTTATCCCCAACGACTTTAAAAGGAAAATGGATGCAGCAATTCTTCAATGATAAAGAGAAAGAAAACTTGTTTCGTCCACGAGATGACGAGACAATACAGTCAAAAATTCAGATTGAAATAAATGATTTTTTCTAACCAGAGAAACAAAAGGTTCGCAAACTCAAATACTTGTCAACTCAACACAACAGTCAGAGCTAACAAGTTTATTTTTTTCCATCTCTCTAACAAATCAGTCAGGCACAGGGAAATCAATCTTTACCTTTGCTTTGATCCATAGACCGCTGTAACTTCTCTCTGTACACGTTTAGCCGCTCCTGAAAAACCATACTACCATCAATAAAACACCCAAAGCTGCCATTTTTGGTTTGCATTTGCATCAGTTTAGAGTCTACAACCACCAATTCATTAAGCTACGCATTTGAACACAAGTAACTCGAATTTCACCAAAGGAAACAAATAGCCAAAGACACTGAATTATACATACAATTTCCGATTTCACACGATGATCATCGGGATCAGCGCCAGTACATCTCAGCCTCACTGGAAAAACAAAGCCACAAAAAAACATTATCGCAAATGAATAAACTTCAATCTCATAGCTTTCCTTTCAGTGGAAACAGAATAATAAGAGAAGAAGAAGAAAGAGGGAGGCTTACGATCGAAAATAGTTGTTGTGGCTTGGGCGAGCAAGAACAAAACCTTAGCTCGCTTCAATGGCTGCATTTGGGCAAGAACCTCTGGCTCGGCTAAAGCCACCATCTGCTCAAGCTGCGGTTTCAGTTCCTTGAGGTAGGCCAGCGTTTGTTTCACAGCCTCCATTGCTGATTCCGGAACCACTCCCGCGGCGGCGCTACTTCCTTCACCTCCTTCCATCTTAATCGGCAGAGAATCGAAACTGAAGACTCAGATTGAGATGAATTACAGCTCGGCGGCGTTTTCACCGGAAAGAGTTAGGTTTCCGGTGGGATTCTCTCGTCGCCGACAGTTTTATAGATGCAGACGAAGAGGCGCTTCTGACGCAATTCGGGAACAGTGACGTCAGCATTTTCACGATGCTGTCAAAATTAGTCAAAAGTGGGCCGTTAATGGGCCAAAGCGAAAGTCAGCGTTTAAGGCCTTAATTTTAGGAACTTATAATTAAGATTTATAATAATTATTTTCGAATTATTATTTCAACAAACACTTACTCAATAATTAATTAATTCGTAAAAGACGACCGAAGAATATTTTTGATTGTAATTTACAAGTGATTTATCCTAACATTAATTCCTGCATAGTTTTCACTTATGAGCTCGTGGTGTTTTCTCCTAGAGCCCTAGGTTCCTGATCGTTCGTCACCCTTCTCGAATCCCCGAACCCTAATTCTGAATCAGAATCCATTATATCCGTAGCTTAATTCTTTGATCTTTCTCAATACAAAGTTCAGGTTTTCGAGTCGAAACTTGTTTTGTTTTAGACGGGCAAATGGTTTTAGCTGGGCTATAAGTTTCCCGAATCATCATCTTTTTCCTGAGAAGTTGGATGCTGAAAAATGAGCTCATTCTCGATCACCCGAAAGAAAACGCCATTCCAGAAACACAGAGAAGAAGAAGAGGCCAGGAAGAAGGTTCGTTTTTGTTTTTGTTTATTTCTTAGCTATTTCGAAATCCAGACCTTTATACTAACATGTTCTATTGCGTTTTAGCTTTCATGAAACTATTTGAGTTGAGATTTCAATCACCCGCAGCAAAATTTCTGATATATTGCTATTGTGGGTACTCAAATTGTTCCGTGGAGATTAATAATCGAGATTTTTTTCCAATCTTAACGCAGAAAGCAGAGGATGAAACGGCTCGTCTGTATCAGGAATTTGTGGAATCATTTCAAGGAGACAATTCAACTAAGACTTTTGTTCGAGGTGGGACAATTAATCCCGGCGACAAGCCCAAGGTTGACTCTGGAGGTTAGTCTTCGGAAATGCTGAAGCTTTAACTGTTGTTTACCTGCCTCTTTGTGTGTCCATTGTACTTTGTTCTTCTTTTGATGGTGTCAAATGGTAAAGAAACGCTTTTTAATATATCTGGGAACACATTATTAAGAGTATGGACTTTTTTCTATGCATTCGCGGATGGCAGGTGAAAAGTCCAAAGATGGGGGTTCCGTTTCAAAGAAGGGGAGTAGGTAAACTGATTGCTTTTGATTGATCAATCTTGCGCAAATCCATCGTAAACAGAAAGAGTTTGATCGCTCTTGATTGTGCCGTTGAGTATACACTTTTGAATACCATCTATCTTTATGTTTGTGATATCTATGAATCAACATATCCATCTGTATATAGGAACTAGCTGAGGTCAGATATTTCTGTCATCTGTATTGGTAAAAGCTTTCGGTCTTAGGAATGATATTCTTAGGTATTGCTTGATAAGTTCAAATCAATGCGTCTGTTCTTATGATATAGAAAATTATCCTCTACGTATTCTCTGCAGGTATGTTCCCTCTTTTCTTCCACCACCACTGGCATCTAAGGGTAAAGAACCAGAGAAAAAGGTTAGTAGTTTGGATTTTTTTTTCACTGTATTTCTTTGATTATTTGGGTTTAAGCAATGATTTAGCTGTAAGTTCATTTATTTCATCTTTCCAGAGGGAGGAAGAAAGAACTAAGGAGAGAGAAAAGGGAAAGACTCGAAATATAGATAATTTCATGGAGGAGCTGAAACGTGAACAAGAAATGAGAGAAAGACGAAACCAGGATCGTGATCGTCAGGGCGATAACTCGGTTAGTTCATCGTAGTCTTGCACTCTCTGCATCAATGTTCTGCTCTCAGATTAACCCTGCACTGCTTTTTTGGAAAGATATTCCCTGCTCTCTGTGCTAAACTTATTCTGTCTTCAGCCATCTAGCCGCTATGATGAGCTACCTGATGAATTTGATCCTAGTGGGAGGCTAGGATCGTTTGACGATGGTGACCCACAAACTACGAATCTGTATGTTGGGAATCTGTCCCCAAAGGTGTTTTTCCTTTTCTTACTTGAATTTATGTGCTGTTTCTCCGCTAATGTTTTCTTGTATTCGTCTGTGACTTACATTTTGAGCTATGATTTTTATGCTCACATAGGTTGATGAAAATTTCCTTCTCCGCACTTTTGGAAGATTTGGGCCCATAGCTAGTGTCAAGATTATGTGGCCAAGAACAGAAGAGGAGCGGAGGCGACAAAGAAATTGTGGCTTTGTTTCCTTCATGAATAGAGCTGATGGACAAGCTGCAAAAGATGAAATGCAAGGTTAGCTAGCCTGTCTTTCTCTAGAATTATCTATTGTAGCCCGGCTTAGAAATCATTTGCTAGGCCGGGGCACCTTGTGTAATATGATATAAAACGCTAGAAACGTTTTGAGGATTACTTTTCAGTAGCATATTAGTTCGAATACTCCAATTGAACAAAATTTGATTGGTTCATATGTGCAAACTGCAAAACCCTCTTCAGTGTCAAAAAAAGTTTTGTAACCAATATTCAATACAAGGCATGTATTGGCGTTCAGTTCTAGTCACTATTACTGCCTTGTTTAGTACCTTGTCTTTTCCTTCTTCATTGATGCAATTTCTTTTTACCCTTGTCTTTTCTTTCATGATGGATACAACTAACCCACTGGTTGGTCAGTGTTGGAAATAATGATCCTTGTGGAAATATTGACTAGTCTATGGTCGACTGGTTTTGTATTGAATAAACATCATGATTGCATGGGAGAGTACATAATAAAGTTATGAAGAAAAAATTTCAATTTTACAGGGATCATCGTATACGAGTATGAACTGAAGATTGGATGGGGTAAAGCTGTTTCTCTACCATCACAAGCATTACCTGCTCCACCACCTGGACATATGGCTATTCGGAGTAAGGAGGTTTGTGATGCATCCTGTGTTGCTCTCGATATACATTTCTTCTTTAATTCTATATTTCTATTTAGTAACCTATGTCCCTGGTCCCTGATTGTGATTGGTATTTCCTTGCCATTTTTTGGAGTTTTGACTGCCTGATATCATCCTTTGGTGTAAGTCTAAAATTTGATACATGTTCATGGGCAGGGCTGCAACTTGATCTTTTCTGGACAATCGGGTCCACCAATTACTTCTGTTCCAAATCAAAATTCTGAGCTGGTATGTAAACTTGGTTCATGGCTTGAATTGATTCTCTAGAAGTTTTATATGATATTCGAGGAGTGCTTGAGTTACTTTATAGTCCAGACTGTTACGGTTAAGTTGCAGAATAGTTTCTCTGTATTTCTTAAAGTAGCTTAGAACAGAAACAGAACCAAAGAACAAACTAGGGATGAATTCTAGTGCATCCTCTACTCTCCCAATACCCTTAAGCCCCCAATTCAGTTTCCAAATATTTGACTCTTCTAAGTACTTGATGCTTCTCTTATTTGTAGTGATCCTAGCTAGACTATCTCGCTGACGTGGCATCTGTAGTTGACAGCACTCTTATCAGCTACCCGTTTTAATTAACAAATATGAACACTTCTTGCTTTGAATTCCATTCTCAGGTTCTTACCCCTAATGTTCCGGATATCACTGTTGTTACTCCTGAGAACGAGCACCTCAGACATTTGATTGATACAATGGCTCTCTATGTTCTGGATGGTGAATGTGCATTTGAACAAGCTATCATGGAGAGGGGCCGTGGGAATCCACTGTTTAAGTTTTTGTTTGAGCTGGGCTCAAAGGAGCATACTTACTACGTCTGGAGACTCTATTCCTTTGCTCAGGTACATTTTAATTGCTTTCTAACTAAGTATATCTTATATTCTCGTTGAGCTTTGCATTGTCATAAGCTGATGAATGTTTTTGTACTGTTTAGGGTGATACACTTCAAAGGTGGAGAACAGAGCCGTATATCATGATAACTGGTAGTGGAAGGTATGAAACCATGCCAACTGTGAAACTGATCCTTTTTACCTTGGCGCTTCTATTGTTTAAACACAGTCTTTTGCTCTTATTGCAGATGGATTCCGCCACCGCTGCCTCTTACTAAGAGCTTTGAGCATGACAAAGAGTCTGCAAGCACATATGCAGTGGGAAGAAGCAGGGTAATCTTCTTGCAGTCTCTCTTCTGATTTTTTATTGCTTTTTCTTTTGTCTCTTTCATTAGTATTGCGGGGTACCTTACACTGGTAAATTTTACAGCGTGGAGAAGTTGAAAGGACTCTGACGGATCCTCAAAGGGATGAGTTCGAGGACATGTTGCGTGCTCTTACATTAGAAAGGAGTCAGATAAAAGAAGCTATGGGCTTCGCTTTAGATAATGCAGATGCAGCTGGAGAGGTATCATTTAGTTTAACAGACGATCGTATGCTTCATAGATATAGATATCCTACAGAAGCTTCACATATGTTTTAGTCCCTTATTTGTTATAAAAATATCTAAAGACCGGTTCTATGCAGTAGTAAAAGAATGCATTACAAACGCATAAAATTCCAGAAAGAGAACCTGCTATTGGACCAAAATCAGATGCCGTTATTAAAAATATTTTCTGATTCTTTTTCCTAGTCACCTCATAGAATCCCTGAACAGAAATACACGCTAGTAAATTCAGTCGCCTTTTCCTCTTTATATATGTGTATTTATTCCACAGGTTGTTGAAGTTTTGACGGAGTCCCTGACCCTAAAAGAGACATCAATTCCAACTAAAGTTGCCAGACTTATGCTTGTGTCTGATATTCTTCATAATAGCAGCGCACCTATTAAAAATGCATCTGCATACCGAACCAAGTTCGAAGCAACACTACCCGATATAATGGAAAGCTTCAATGATCTGTACCGGAACATAACTGGAAGAATAACTGCTGAGGCTCTAAAAGTACTGTCAGAAAGAACAATAATCTTTTATGGTTTTCTTTGCCTTATGACATGCATTTGTAAACTCATTCGGACATTTTGCAGGAACGGGTTCTCAAAGTTCTGCAGGTATGGGCAGATTGGTTTCTCTTTTCAGACGCATACATATATGGACTGCGTGCTACATTTCTCCGGTCAGGAATCTCTGGTGTTACCTCATTTCATTCCATCTGCGGTGATGCACCTGAAATAGAGAAGAAAGGTTACATCGACAACATGAGCGATATTGGTATGATCAAGCAAGATGATGCACTGGCAATAGGTAAAGGCGCTGCAAGACAAGAGCTGATGGATTTACCAATTTCTGAGCTTGAGAGACGCTGCAGACACAATGGACTGTCTCTTGTAGGGGGTAGAGCGGTGATGGTTGCTCGGCTACTAAGCCTTGAAGATACAGAGAAACAACGCGGCTATGACGCAGTGGATGAAATTTCAAAGTATCCGCAAGACCATTCAACTTGGGAAGAAGTTAAGAATGAGCGTGAGCATATCAGGAACAGCTATGCAGAGGTTGAAATGAAAGAGCCTATGAATCTGGCAGCGACAATACCAATCCCACAGCCTGAGCTGAAAGCCTTTGTGGGAAAAGAGAAAAATGACCTCGTATTGCCAGCTTCAAAATGGGCTAGAGAGGATGACGAAGCTGACGATGAACAAAAGAAGAGCTACTCTTCGGGAAGCGACAATACTGGTGGGATAACTTTCAAGGCCGATGACGAGGATCTCAAGGGTAATGATCGTGTTCGTGCCCAACCTGACAGTGGAATGGACGAGGGGCAGAGGTTTGATCAATTATTTTGAACTGATTTAAGGAAGCTAACTTAACTAGAAAAAGAATACATCAAATTGCATTATCGCTTCATATAGGTGCTTGAGCATTAAAAACATCAAAGGTATTACTGGAAATAGTTCCCGAAAAGAGGAAGATCAGTGTGAGGGTAGTGTTTAGTTAGGGAGGTGTGTTCTTATGAACCTCAGTTGGTTTGGTCTTTAAAGACTACAAATTGTTTGGCACTTTGGTTCCTGTCCGGTTAGGTGGATAATTGAAAGTCAGAGAAAGCTTTTGGGCAAATGCATCAATTGTACAATCCCAAATGTGTCTGAACCCATACATGAGCTTGCATCAATTACCTTTACCAGAGCTGCTATTCAATTTTAAGTTGTAACATTCGAAACTCAATAGGCTGCTTCCTTACTCTCTTTTTTTTGTACTGCAGACAAAAGCTTAGACGCATAGAAGTTGCTTTGATAGAGTATCGTGAAACTCTCGAGGAACAGGGGATGAAAAACCCCGATGAGATAGAGAGAAAGATAGAAATCAAACGAAAGAGGCTTGAAGTCGATTATGGCTTATCAGGATCTCACGAGGGCAACAGAAATCGTAAGTTATACTTTACACCTGACAGTTGCTCTTCTTCTGTTTTGAGAAAGGTTATTAAATTGTTCCATGTCCATTTGATGCAACAATGGGGAAACTTGAGCCCCTTTCTGCAAATTCGTTATCTCAGTTTCTTTATACTCACGTGTAACTTAGGCATTTTACATGTGTGAATGCATCTCAAACTTTAAGATTAGAGTTTGAGTTTGGTGCAGTCCAGGACATGGCCTATGTTCATGGACCCTTCATGAAAATTAACAGTGCTTTAAACTGCAGAGAAATCAATAATAGAGCGGAAGGAGAGGCTTGAAGATTCTCGAGAATCATCTAAGAAGAGACACCGTGGGGAAAACCAGAGCCAAAGTCCACCAAGGAAATCATCAACCAGGGAGAGAGATCACGACTTGGACAGAGACAGAGATAGGGACAGAGAGAGACACAGAGTTAGGCAACATGATTTGAACAGGGATCGAGACCGACGTGAAAAGAGTTCAAGCCACGAGCGAGACGATCATGATAGAAGCAGAGAGAGAGACAGGGATTGGCGCAGACGAGGCATGAGATGATGATTGTTACTTCACCTCATGGTTTGTTCTCCGCATGACTGGAAATACTGTTCTTATGAAAAGGTTGTAACCCGTTTGGGTTTCTAAACTCAGAAGATATGTAGAACTCGTTCTCAGACACAGCTTGTAATTGTGTATTCCAGTCCAAGTTTTCTGAGATTTCTCACCCTCAATTGTTTCTTCTCATGTTTTTCTTAAGGAGCTATTTTAGGCCCACAAATTTGTTATGTATACTGAGAAAACTTGCACTTGGTATCAGTGGAAGTAAAGTCAAGAGAAAATGCTGAAAAACTGAAGCATTTGCTTCAAATTTCTATAAAAAGAGAACACTGTAGCTATCTTCTATCAACGGATTGAACAAGAGACGCCAATTCCAAATTCCGAGTTTCTTCTTTTTCGTCTCCCTCTCCGTCCGAATCTTCCCCCATAATCTCATCAGGGAGCTTGAATGTGTTCTGATCTCCCTTAGGCACAAGAAACAGAACAAAAAGCGGTGAAACTCTCATAACATTCCTGAGCAGAACCGCAAGCCAGAGGTTACCAAACTCAGTCCGAGTCACCTTGAGGACGTGCAACAACACTCCTCCGAGCCATGACGAGGTCATGACGCCTGCATTGTCAATTGACATTAGCAACGCAAAGAAGGTCCCTTCGATTCCGTGAGGACAAAGCTTTGAAGTGAGGACGAGCAGCGGCATCCATTTCAGGCGTCCGATCATCTGAGAAACTACCTCATCGACTACTATGAAGAGATAGTCCGGTAAGCCAAATTTTAAGTTGAGACGTAGCACAAGAATGAGGTCAAGCATTCCGGATAAGGCATAGAGAAGTTGAGTCCACAAACAAAGGCCACGGAACGGATGATCCTTTAGGACCAGCTGGTACAGCGTTGCTCCTAGAATCGACCCTATTGAACCAATTGAGAGAATGAAACCAACCGTTTCCTGAAACAAAACCAGAACAGAAAGGCTCTCAAACACATCTTAGGTATAGGTTGAAAATATGAACTGGTTGTTTAAGGGGAGTACCTGAGCAAACAAAGGGCCATCTTTTGCATCTGTGAACCAATAGAAGAGACCTTCATGAATGTTCAAACTAAGAGCAAGGGATATATACATATACAGACTCGGCCGCCACACATCTGAGCATTTCATTGTCCTCCACATTGCTTTCCCTGCATCGGCAAATTTCTGATTTACCTGAGAATTGATACAAACAAGAATCAAGAATCTCATCTTGGTAGAAAAATGAAGCTAGTGAAGAGCGAAAAGAATCACCTGTTTGTAAGAGAAACCAGGAACATGGGACTCACTAAACACAACCCCGACTACCGATACTAATGCGAATGGGAATGTCAGCAAGCCAAACACGCCCTAATATCAGAGAAAAGGAAACACAGGATTAGAGAGAAACCACGAGTGACAGAGATCAACAGGAGCAAGATCAGCTAACCTTGGGGCCAACAAGATGAACTAAGATGCCACTCATAAAGTAACCAACAAGTGCTCCAATGGAGGAGCTTAAACTGCATAAGCTCTGCATATCCGATGCAAGAGAAGGGTGTTTGATGCTGTTGTAGGCGGTGCAAGCATCAATGGTTACATCGGCTATTGCCATTGCAGCACTTGATATTGTCATCCAAAACAGTGCCAAGTAAAGGTGTAAATTACTATGAATCGAAATAAACAACAAAGAAACCACTCCAAGCACCCCTGCAAAAAAAAGCACTGTGAATAAATGTGTATATTTACTGAGAATATGATCCAAATATCTAGCAAGATTTACCAGCTAAAATGAAGTAAGGGCGTCTGTGGAAGCCAAACATGGGAAGAACATCAGTGAGAATGCCCCAAATAGGCTTAATGATCCATGGAATCTTAGTGATTGCAGTGAGAGCCTGAGATTCAGAAGGCTGAACCTTTTGAACATCTTTCATGTAATACTCTGTGGCTACACGACCCAGTGAGCCACCAAGCCCTTGGTTTATTCCGTACAGTGAGACCACACCGAACACAAAGCTCCAGTGAAGCTCTCTCGCCAGCATCTTTAGCCACCGGACTGGACCCCACACCACATTACGGAAATAGCTTTCTCCTTTGACCACATGGACGGATCCGCCGTTTTCAAGGTTTTGTTCTTCTACTACCATAACTGGTTTCTGTAAGGGTAAAGATTCCAAGATTTTTGGATCCGTTTTGAGCTCAAATTTTGAAACTTTTTGATGTGGGAAACAGATCCAGGACCAGAGTTGTCTCAAGTGGGTGTTTCTTGGATTGAGTTGAGCTCAGAGAAAAAGTAAATCTTTGGTTGAAGCGTGGATTATAAAAAATGATGAATCTTTTGAAGTAGGCAAGTAAAAAACACAGAGATTTGGGAATCAAAAATCTAGCTTGGATTAAAGCTCAAAAAACAAGAATGAAATTGGCAAACAAGAAGCGTCGTTGACCTGACTTCGTATGAACAACTAATGCCCATTGAAGACGAAGAAGAAGAAGAAAATGAATTGATTAAAGAAATAAAAGGATAAAACTCAGATCAGAGCGACGAAAGGAAAATGTCAAGCTTTTGCTACTAAATGTTTGACCAAAAAACATCTTTGCTTGTCTCTTACTAAGAACATTCTGTTTAGTTTTCATTTTCTACTTTCTATTTTCCCCGGCTTTTTTTCAATTTTTTTTGGTTCACCTTCAAAATAAAACTATTTATTGAATTTATAAGGAGCATGTAGAAGCATATAAAAGGTTTGTTAACAAAGAAAAAAAGGATTTGTAAGGTAAATACAGGATAAACAAAGATTTTTTTTTTTTATTGAAATGTAATAAAACCTTATTTTGCATTAAAGTCATCATAACAAACCTAATCGTTCACTACTACATTAATACTTTTGACTTTTTTCTCTCTTTCTCCATTTTTATTTGTAGATCTGTGATTAAAATCTTACGTAAAGTGTGAAGTCTCCTAATTCACAGCATTTCCCATATTTTCCCTTTTCTATGTAAAGAGTTGATTTGGGTCCGAAGGGCCAAACCGTCCATGAGCGCACAAAAAAATCAAAGCTTTTTCGAGATCAGTCGGCCACCAAAAGAACAGAACAAGGTCTTTTAAACCTAGTATCGCCTCTTTAGATACGTGTCCTGATGCCGTTGGTTCAAAATAGATCTTGTCACCACTACTTCCCACTGGTTCTGAAATAGCAACAAGAAAAAAACATTTTCCATTTCCTTAATTATAAGAAAAAAAAATAGCATCCTTGGGTTGTTCTGTCACCTTTATTGATTAAATATATAAAAAGTAAGATATAGACAAAAGTTTGCCACCACCAACTACCAACTGTTACTCATTAGTTTTTACGAAATATTTGAAAATGAGAATAATTTATAGACGATATTGATGTTGTCACTTTAAAACATATTTTATCAAAGATTAAAATGTGAAAGCACTTATACTTTGTTTTACAAGATAAAGATTATTTTGGTTTAAAAATATAAGATGTTTTACATTTACATTTTTATAGCTTTTTTTGGTCAAGACATTTGTTATACTCCCTCTGTTCAGAATTATTTGATGTTTAAGGATTTTGCACATAGTTTAAGGATTCATTTAATTTTTATTTTTTCTATACTAAAAATATTATTTATAATCCATTTAAATATCATTCAGTCAATAAGAAAATAATCTGCAGAATATAAAAGGTCAAAAACTATAAAAATTTATTAAATTTTGTATTGAAAAGTGAAAACATCAAATAATTCTGAACAAAAAAAACCTTCTAAAACATCAAATAATTCTGAACAGAGGGAGTAGTATTTTAATGTGTGACCATGTGTTGGAAGAAGACCCAAAGAGTTCAGTGCTTTTTTTAAAGTACGTTTAAGGATCCATTACTTTGAAAAGTCCCAAGGCAGCCTATTGCCTAAAGCAAAACGGACATAAGCAATAACAACAATTGGGAAATTAAGGATAAAGATTTCTAACTTCCAGATACCCACAGCTAAGATTCCTCCAAGGTTTAAGGCTATAAACACTAATTTGGGCTCCTTGAATGGCTGAAAACCTGCAAACAAGGGTAGACTTTAATTAAAATGAGTTATTTTCTCTAAATTTTATGATTTTGTTCTGTAGTATAATTTTCCATTTCTAATCCTAATAAACAATATAAAGAATGTTTTCTTCAACTAGTACACTGGCACAATATGCATATGCTAAAGTATATATAGTTGCCAATGTAAGGAGAAGGCCCTAAGTAAGTAGTTCGAAGCTATGTGCTGATGTGCATTCAAGATACACGTCGTAGGTGGTGGTCTCTAACGGCGGATATGGTTTCATTTGGATGGTCTAAAAATAGGCTTTGACAGCAAAACGTAGAAAGGACAGCACGTAACAAGCAAATACAATGTAAAACAAGCGGAACAACTAATTAAATGTTAATGCGTGATTAACATTGAACGTAACAAGGGCGATTAATATGAAGTGTAATAAGTTCAAAGACTAAAGAGAATACAACAGACAAAATTAAATAAATTAAATAGACTACAAAAACTTGCATATGGCGCGCAACCAACTATGGAGCCGACAATGGGTCAGAGGAAACAAAACTCCTTCGGTTAATTATCATGTTTAATGGAGATTAAAAAAAAAAAAAACAAATATTTTCAGATTCTTCTCATTTAATCTCAAACCTCATCGTCGTCGTCGTTTGCTTTCGCCGAACCCATCATTCCGAGAGGCTTCTTCGAGTCGTCGACCACAAAAGCCGAAGATAACTCCATATGACAAATCCTACAAGCTCCGATAAGTCTCTCCGGCAGCTCATCCTCCGTTTGCGCCTCCACAACGAAACCAACGTCGACCGTAAGGCTCGTAATGCACCCCAACGAAAGCCGCAAAAGCGCCCTCATAATCGCCGAGCTTCCTAAATCGATATCTATCTCCAAGTAGTTATCTCCTCTGTAATAACTACACCTCACAGTCTTACCAGCAACGAACGCACCGAAGCTCCCGGCCGCCGATTTAACTACCCAGGGACCTTCCACGACTCTGCTCACCACTTTGAATCTTTCGTTACAGAACGATTCGTCTCCGTCGATCAAGTGGCGGAGGACGGAATCGGAAGGGATTTGATCCTCCGTCGCGAAGTAGAACACGCAGCTGTACGGTTCTTTGCTTGGAACTTGGAAATTCACGGCGAAGATGAAGCTGTTTAGGGATTTGACACGAGATTGGGCTTTTTTAAGCGCGTGTGCGACTCGGTTATCGGGACGAGCCAGGACGTTTTCGAGTTTCGTGGTGGATTTGAGCCAGTCAACGCCGGCGGGAGAGAGGAGGTAGTCTCCGCCGGGAGATTTCTGTTTGTCGGTGAAGTAAGTAGCGGAGCGGAGAGAGAAGACGGAACCTGGAGGCGAAGCCCAGCCGTTGATTCCGGTATGGAGGTCGACGAGGCGGAGTGATCCACCGTTGAGCGTCTCGGTTATCCACTCCGGTACATGCGGGATTGATCCGGTTTGAGCCGGTTTGGAACTGGAGCATTTGGTTGGCCTCATGGTGTGTGATTCGTTCTCGCCTCTCTCTTCTATTCTCTTGATGGCTTTTTCGACTAGTCTTGATGGTCTAATAAATCTATTACTAGTTGCTAATAAAATATCCATTAGATTCGATCTAGCAATTAATAAGTAACATGGTTAGACACTGTAATCAGTAAATGGTGCTGCTATTAATTGCATTTATAAGATCCTATACGCTGCAGAAAGATGGCAATTAAATAGCGGTGGATTAAGCCAAGAACAAAGAACACATCCCTCATTAGCAAGAACTTGAGCATAAGAATAAATTCGGTTCTGTAATGTAACAAATGATTGGAAATGTAACAAAATCTATTACAGAAACTCACCAAAAGTGCAGAAACCACAAAGAAAAACTCGAGACCGCATATTTAAAAAGTAAGCTAGTGAACATATATGATCATGAGGCCAACAACTAAAAAATATCGCCGATAACGCAATATCAGATCGGAACAAAACACACCAATTCGATGAATCCAAGTCCAATCAGTGAGATTTTTGTCTCTGAGGCTGACGATCAGAAGCCAATCTGTAAATCCAGTAAACCTACAAATCGCATAATCCGAAAGTGATCAACGATCGGTGCTGCGATTGCAAACTTATATAAACCTAATTAAATCGAAAACAGCGAGCAAGTGAAGTTTACCAAGGCGATGACGTGAGCTGCAGCGAGAAAAACAACCAAACCCGGTACAAGATCCATAGACTTCTCCATTGCAGACGATATTAAAAACACTCTAAAACGAATCGATCTGGAACTTCACCGATATTTCTCTTCCGGAGACGACTAAGGTAGTATTTGTGAGAGAAAGAGTCGTCAAGTTATCCTTCTCCGATTTGAAAATCTGCAGGAACAATATTAATCATTTGGGCCTAAGCTATAATCAACTCGACCATATCGGCCTGATTCGGCCCATATAACTTCGTTAAGTAACAGAAACGCCGACTGACTCGGAATAATCGCCACGTGTAAGCGACGTGGCGACTAATTTTCGCATACTTGTCTTTGCACTGTTGCTTCCTCGGCTCGGCTCTTACGTGGAGAGACACTCGAAAACATCTTCTTCAAGGGCGATCTCGCTTGCGCATTCTAGCGAACAGTTTCTGCGCAAAGAGCTAAACGAGTGGTAATCTGGACGGACTATGGGATTTTCGCATGCTGTTCGACTGAATCGATCGCCGTGTTCTTGCCGTTAGCCGATGAGGAATGTCGTTGTTGCTCTCCGCCATCACCGCCGTGTCTCGCTGTACCAGAGAAGTACGCATTTTCTTTCCTTTTCATTCTCGCATTCGATGGCAATTTTTATGTTTCGATATAAATTTTTAGGATTCGGAAGAATTGGCGGGAGTGGATGATTTTCGGGTTGAAATTATGAATTACTGACTCGATAATCACGATTTTGAATCTACTTAATTTACTAGATACAGCGGGAGGACAGAATTGTAGCTATCACGAAAACATTAAATTTCGGCGTTGGAAAAAAAATTGGAAATCCGGATATTAGTTTTGTAATGCTGATGATGGTTGCCCAAGCTCAGTTTCAGTGAAGTTTTCACTTCTATCTTTGCTAGATCAGGGATGTGTAGAAGGCGTGTATTAGGCTAAAATGATGATGCTGCGGCGACTTTTTTTATTTTCCTTTTTTGGAAATAGAATTTTATGTTGATGAGGTTGTTGTTGTTATTATAGTTGTAGCTTTGCGTGATGACAAAACTATTGACTTCAAGCTTGGGGACTACATATCGAGAGGAAAGGATAATGAGCTCTCAAGACAGACAAATACATGGGTTTCTCCAATTTTCCTGCAACATAGAATGTGAGTTCTTCATCATGCTGTATAATTTATGGGTACACAAAAAATCGAGGATTTCAGGATGTTTTAGTGGGCTAATCGTTTTTGGGGAGATTGGTCCGCAGGTATTCGACGGGTTTCACCAGCGTTCATGGTGGAAGACCTACGGCTGAGTATGCAAAGTTGCGGAGAGAGTCCCTTGAAAACGAATTTGGACATGCTCTTGGAGCATATAGCTCCAAAAGTTTTTCTGCAGTGTATCGTTTTGGCCCATTTTTGGCTTTGTATAGAGCTGCAATCATTTCGTTCCATGTGGTGAAGCTTGCCTTTTGGCAGCTGTTTGTTCAGGATATGAGGAAACGTGCTGTCAAGGTCCGTAAACTCGTGACCTATGATGATCTTTTGTTTGCCGATACTTGTTTGATTAGATAAATGAAGAGTACTCTTTGGATATGTGGCTCGGCCAATAACTATTTTGATACTAATTTATCACATCTTGGATGCAGTTCCGTGAGACTCTTATCAGCTTGGGGCCTTTTTACATTAAGGTTTGCTGCGTATTCGCGTTTTATTCCAGTACTCCTCTAAGTATACTAATCTTCGTCTCTTCTTTTTTTTTTTAAAAAAAAAAACAAAGTTCCTCACAAATAATACATTGGGTTGCAGCTCGGACAGGCGCTGAGCACGAGACCAGACATATTACCCTCTATATATTGTCAGGAGCTTTCAAAATTGCAGGTGGCTAATCTTTCTTTCTTTAAAATTACATTCTATATATTTCAGTAGCTTTCAAAATTTCAAGTGGTAATAGTTGGATAACATACTTTTCTTGATGATCAGGATCAAATACCTCCATTTCCAACTAATGTTGCCATGCGATGTATTGAAGAGCAACTGGGTGTTCCAGTGTCAAAACTTTTTGCAGATATTAGTGCTAAGCCTGTTGCTGCTGCATCTCTGGGCCAGGTATACAAAGGTTAGATGCCTTTTAACTGTGGTCAGATTTTTCCTATCCTTTTGTTCTCAACTGTTATCCTCCTTGCCATTTTCTCAGTTTCGAGTTACTAGAAGCTAAATGTTTCAATTTTCTCCTTCAAGTATTGCAGCTCACCTGCATTCCGGACAGTTGGTAGCTGTTAAGGTTCAGAGACCTGGAATGTCGCTCTCGCTAACACGTGATGCCCTCTTATTCCATATGATTGGGGGACAACTGAAACGATTTGCGAAAGCCCGTAAGGACCTTTTGGTAGCGGTGAATGAGATGGTGAGTCATTTATCTGAAACTTTTGAACTACTTTTATGCTTACCGATATTGTGCAAACATGTTTATTTCTCGCTTGGATGAACAGGTCAGGCATATGTTTGACGAAATAGATTACATTCAAGAGGCAAAAAATGCAGAACGATTTGCTTCTTTATACTCTTTTGATATAGGTAGGTATTCTTGTTTCAAATTCTGCTCTCTTCTGAAACACCATTTCCAGATTTAATATATCTTTGAACATTGACAGGGAATGATCAGATTAATGATAACGCTGGACCTAGGAGTATGTCCAGGAACCATAGAGCAGAGAACATTAAAGTCCCTAAAATATACTGGAATTTTACACGCACTGCGGTCCTCACAATGGAATGGATCGATGGCATAAAACTAACAGATGAAATTAAGCTGAGAAGGGCTTCTCTTGATAGAAGGGACTTGATCGATCAGGTAACCAAAGAACTGATACCAACTTATGCTAGGTTAATGTCCTCATAGGTGTGTACTTAGTATGGCTAGGTTCTTGTAAATGTTCCACCACTGAGAACCTTGAACTGGTTTGGTTCACAGGGTTTATCCTGTTCATTAAAGCAGCTGCTTGAGGTTGGATTCTTTCATGCTGATCCGCACCCAGGAAATCTGGTGGCTACTAAAGAAGGGTCTCTTGTTTATTTCGACTTCGGGATGATGGGGAATATCCCACGCCATTACCGTGTGGGACTTATTCAAATTGTAAGCTCTACTTCAGTTTAACCTTACCTTTTCTGTTTCTTATATGCTTGTGGTCTTTCTAGCTTCTCTTCTTGATTATGCATATAAAATAAACTACATGCAGCGTCTTTCTGATGCAGATGGGAAATGGTGACTTTTCTATCTGAATTTTTGTTTTTCGTCACTTTGTCAATTTTGATTAGTTTTATTGCGATTACAGCTAGTGCATTTTGTCAACCGTGACTCTCTAAGTTTGGCAAATGATTTCCTTTCCTTGGGTTTTTTACCGGAAGGGGTCGACATACAAGCAGTTTCAAATGCCTTGCGTGCTTCGTTTGGTTCTAATACCAGAATATCACAAGATTTCCAGGTATGCCCTTTCTTCATCTTGTAATGAAAAGTTACACTCAACCCTACAGACACATTCACTTAGATACAATTATGGCAAAGCCTTTCAAAAACTTTTTTCGTGTTATTGCTTGTGGGCTGAAATGTTTTTAATTAAACAAAGAGTTCGTTACAAACTTTTGCTTTTTGAAAAGCCAAAAAGGTAGAGAAAGCAACAGAACTTGGTTGTTTTACGATGATGGTATTTGAAACACCTCATTAGCAACTTTTTCGCTTGTACCGGAATGACCTATGTTTGGATTAAAGCGCTTAGCTAATCTCGTGCATCAAACTAGAATTACGACTTCGTGATAGTCCAAAACAGTAAAGGAGTGATAAATTTAAAGTAAATCCAGATTTCTGGGAGATATGGATTATTAGCTGCCAACCGTTAGAAACCCAATCAGCAGCTGACTTTGTCATAGTTGAGTTAATTTCTTGTTTGGTGAGACACCACTGACAGGATTCTTCACAATGATTATTTCTTTACCCTATACAGTCATCGTGAGTTTACCGAAACTCATTGTAATCTACCTTACTTCTTGCTGTACAGGGGGTGATGGAACAGTTATATGATGTTATGTACGAGTTCAACTTTTCGCTGCCTCCAGATTATGCTCTTGTCATAAGATCCCTTGGTTCACTAGAAGGCACTGCAAAGATTCTTGATCCAGAGTTTAAAGTGATCGAGAGTGCATATCCGTTTGTTATCGGGAGGCTATTAGCAGATCCAAGCCCAGATATGAGGAAAATACTAAGGGAACTTGTCATTTGTAATGATGGATCAATAAGGTGGAATCGGCTTGAACGCCTGGTACGTCATAACAACTCTTCTCCTTAGGATTTTGTTTTATTGTTCTCTTTGGGAAATTGAGTAAGTCTGAACAGTGAGCTGAACTCTCTCTCTTTCAGGTAGCAGCTATATCCGAACAGGCTTCTGCGACTTCTGGAGAGTCACCAGAAGACAAAACACTTAACAAATCATCGGAACTGAAATCATTCGACATGCATTCAGTAGTTTCGGCCACAGAAGATCTGCTATTGTTCATATTATCAGAGAAAGGGCAGAGAGTAAGGGTGTTCCTTCTTCAGGACATAATCAGAGTGGTTGATATTTATCTGGAAGAAGAGGCTCTTGATGTCAACATGAAGAAGCAGACCATCAATCTCAGGAGGGTCAGTAATCACCAAATAAAAACCTTTTTTTTTCTCTCTATCAATGGAATCTTAAAAAAAAAAAAGGCTTCTCATTTTTCAGGAAATAGGGACGATGAAAAGAGTGAGCAATGGTTTCAGGTGTCTGAGTGAGGCCGTGAAGCTTGCACCTGGAATGTGGACAGCAATGCTTCTTCGGATGTCAAGGAAGCCTGAGGTTCACAGTTATGCTTTAGATATTGTTTCTGCTTTGTCTACGCATTTTGGCCACAAAGTTTCTCACACTTGTTGGATCCTTTTCTCCAAATTGCTCCATCAAAGTGACAAGAAGAGACAATGATTTAATACACTTGGGTCTTTCGGTCTCACGTTTTTTTTCATAATAGAAAATATGCACTAGATAGTCAAATTCTACTTTCTTATTTGCAGAACAAACAAATGGTAAAATCGTAAATAAATTGATTTATTTATCGTATATTTTCTTGACAGCAACATGGAAATTTTTTTTCCAAGAGAGTAAAAAAAAAAAGACATTGCCGTAGTGATATTTAGAAAACCATTTCAGATTTGCCCATTGGTTGAAGGGCCTTTGACTTCCAAGTCCATATGTAGCTCCTTCTATAATTAGCAACACCACAATGCATTGGAGGTCTCGCCGGGAAATGCTCAACACCATTGCTTTTGAAAAACGTCGAACCGCTGCTTTCTGTTTCCTTTTTTGGTTTCTTACGCTATTTCCTTCGACCATGAAACCTCCTCTCATCTTCTTCTCTGTCTTCTTTTGAATCTTCCTCACTTCTGACCTCCAGGTTTCCTTGTTTTCTTAATCCAAGAAAAAAATTATCGGTATCTCACTGTGTTCTGCATTCGTATATGTTAAAAAACGTCCCATCTTTTGTTTTTTTATTTCAGTATAGCTCTCAAGTTTATCATCTGAAGAGTAGTAACTTAAGATTTTTTGAGATTTCTGCAAAACCAATAAAACAAAAATGGGATATATGGACTTGGCGTTGTCATATTCGAATCAGATGCGTATTGTCGAAGCCCCAGCAAGTGGAGGCGGTCTCAGGTCCTCTATACTCCATCTCAGCTTAAGATTCTTTGCTATTAAGCCATATATAATGTAGAACTCTCTCCATGATTGTGGTTCTTACCTCTACGTAACCTGAGCTCATCGATCACACTATGTCCAATGATTTAACTGCAGCCAGAATGGAAAATTCAGCTATGGATATGCAAGCTCAGCTGGGAAAAGGTCATCTATGGAAGATTTTTTTGAGACGAGGATTGACGGTATAGATGGAGAAATCGTTGGTCTATTTGGAGTCTTTGATGGTATTTTCTTGGGCCCCTTAAGAGCTTTTACGCATTATGTCTCCATGGCATTTTCTTGAAGGTTTTTCGATGCGCGTAATTTTGTTCATAAGCAGATTTGTTTCTTACTGTGTTGCAGGGCATGGTGGAGCCAGAGCAGCTGAGTATGTCAAGCGTCATCTTTTCAGCAATCTTATCACTCATCCTAAGTTCATATCTGACACCAAATCTGCAATAGGTTACTTCCAAGAACCCTTTTAAAGTTTCTTTTGGTTCCGAACTTACTAATTGTTGATCTGATTCTTTGTTTTTTTTTTCCAGCTGATGCCTATAATCATACAGACTCTGAACTTCTCAAGTCAGAAAATAGTCACACTAGAGACGCTGGTTCAACTGCGTCTACTGCTATTCTCGTTGGTGATCGTTTACTTGTTGCAAATGTTGGCGATTCCAGAGCTGTTATTTGTAGAGGCGGAAATGGTAATTTTCTTTGAAACTTTTGTGATAACTCATTACTCAACTTCTCTCTCTAGTTTTTACTATCTCTTAATGATATCCTCTGAAGGTAGTCGGATTCTCTTGTTTATTATGTGAATGTTTTTGAATGAAATGATAATGTGATCTGTAGCATTTGCTGTGTCAAGAGACCATAAACCTGACCAAAGTGACGAGCGTGAAAGGATTGAGAATGCTGGTGGTTTTGTGATGTGGGCAGGTAACAAGAAAGAAACCGTGTAATATGTTTTGCTTCTTCTTTTTCGCATAGTCATCTGATTCCTGGATTGAATAGGGACTTGGAGAGTTGGAGGAGTTCTTGCAGTTTCTCGCGCATTTGGTGATCGACTTCTGAAACAGTATGTTGTTGCTGATCCAGAGATTCAGGTATATATATATCTTCTTCACTTGCATATAAACCCCATACATGTACTTGTGTTTAAGGTCATGTCTTCTTTTAAGCAGGAAGAAAAGATTGACGATTCTCTCGAGTTTCTGATCCTGGCTAGTGATGGACTTTGGGATGTTTTCTCCAACGAGGTTTTTGATAGTTAAAACTCTTTTGTGTTATATGATGAATAAAAGTTACAGTTCCCATTTCATGTTCCGAGATGAACCTGAAGAGTTTTGAGTTTGACATGAGTCTCAATGACTAGGGATCTGTAATGGTGTTTGCAGGAAGCTGTTGCAGTGGTGAAAGAGGTCGAGGATCCAGAGGAATCGACCAAGAAACTTGTGGGAGAAGCAATAAGGAGAGGAAGTGCAGACAATATCACATGTGTAGTCGTTCGTTTTCTGGAGAGCAAGACTGCTAATACCAAAGCTTACTCCCAGATATCCTCAGCCCATACCAGCTCATCTCAGGAAGCAAATCAAGCGCAAACCGCGGTTAGAAACGACTTGGACCACAAGATCTCTGCCAGAGAAACCAATCAAGAGCGTAAGGCAGTACACAGTGACTTGGACCGCAAAGCTGAGAACGAAAGCGTGAACCAAAAGCCGGTCACAGCTAGAAGCGGCGACTTAGGCCACGTCAGCTCAAAACAAAAGCCAGTTCCGGTTACAGAAACAGAACACAATGTTTCTTCAGAAGAGATTGGCTCAGCAGGAGAAAAGGATAAAATGCCAGCCAGATCAGAGCCTAAGAAATTAGCCAAGAACCCTGGTCAAGAGCAGACCACAGTACACAACCAGAAGCAGTCGATTGCAGCAACAAAGACCACTTCCTCGGAACAGAGAGGATCAGTGAGTGAAAAGAATCGAAAGCCAATCGCAGTTCATAGCGACTCCGCCACAAGCAAGGCCAGTAGCGTTCACTCAATCTCTAACTAAAATTCCTGCTGACTTCAGAATGATCTTTTGAAAAATGGATGTCTCGTCTTCATTTGCTTTGAAAATATTAGTGTCACGAGATTTTTGCCTCGATTCATTTGTGTCGTTGATTAAGGTTTTAATTCCAATAATGTAAATTTTCTTCTTTCTTTTTTTTTTGCCGTGTACTGTACATTACATTTTGGTGAACTACTACTGTACATTACATTCCATATTACTCTTATTTTAGCATGGGATGTTGCATACAAATACACTCCACGTCTATTATATTAGAAAACCCAAAAGGAGCCCTATAAATTATGTCGAAACATTGAATCAAATGGAAAATAGAAAAACACTACATACACAAAACATGTTCAAAATCACATGATTATATACAAAATAAGTTACACATAAACACCACCCACTTTCTTGTCCTTCCTCTCTCCCGCCCATTAACAGGTAAAAAACTCATCAACAAAAAAAAAAAACAAACAACTCTTAAAATGCAAAAAAGAAAAAAAAAGGTTCGTTAAAACCTTATTACTAAAATAAACACCAAACAAGTCCCTTCATTTTATTTCAATCTCTAAAACGTAGGTACAAGTCCGAAGCCGCTAAAGATACCGCCATGACCAACCACGTCGTTGCTCTCACCAGTATCTGTCCGCTTCGCAAACCGTCCCTTGATTCTCGGTCTCATTTCTGCATATGCTTTCCTTGAAGCGTACCTTATCGTCTTCTCGAACTTCCTGTTCTTCCTCTTCTCTCTGTACCTCATTACCCTCGCCTCTCTCTCTGCTGACGTCAACGGAACAGCTCGCTGGCTTCCCGTATCGGTTCACTGGTTGCAGCACCACCGTAAGGGTATGAAACGTCGGCCACGGAGCCTCCATCTGGCACCACTCCCACTTCCAACGACGATGATGATACCTGTAGTCACAAACCGTTGGATCAGAAAAAACAACCTTTGACTTGCTATTTAAATTATTAGCTTCAGGGCTCGTTATGATTAGCGTCAGTTCTACTTTATAGAGTAGCTTACGCATGTCTCATACAATTAATAATATATATTACTCGATACCACAGACCTAAACTTGATTAATCAGATCCACAAGAAATTGCCCTTCACAGACACATACTTTGTTTTAGATATATAATTGGATACTTAAATTAATCATTATCATCGTATTCTTCTAATTAAAGATTAGCTAGAATTCCTATGTTGCTTGCCTACAACAACACTAAATTAAGTGAACCAATCATTAGTTACCGATTAATTTAATAATTTAAAGTGTCATTAAAGTCGTAACCGCAAAGATCTAATATTTATCTAAATTGGATAAACAAATGGTTCTTTTGAGTTCTAAAAAGAATTAATTAAAGTAATCAGTTTGATTAGAGGAAGTTAATTAAGTAGCTTACGCTGTGACTGATACAGTTGTAACCGTAAGTAAAGCCTTTGGATCCTCCGGTGAAATCCAACTCGTAGCAGTTCTCGTTCACCGTCGGGCCTCGAACCGTGCGACTCTCCACCGGAACCACACCATCGGTGCCGGAGCTGTTCTGCTCCTGCAATTCCAGCTTCGGATCAACAGTCCCGTAGTCCAGATCCAGATACGGATCCGGATCCGAGAACAAGTATTGTTGACCCGTGTTCATCTCCGGGCTATCTCCCGGCACCGTCTCAGCCGCCGTAGCCATCGCCGTCGTCTTCGGGTTCGGGAGAAGCCACGACGCCGCCTCCTCCTCCTCTTCCTCACGGCTAGCGTTTCCGTCTAGATCGGAGAAGTAACAGTCGTCGAGGAAATTGACGGCGGTGTGTTTGACGGAGCCGTCGGCGCCGGAGACGGAATCGTAGAATGGCGTGACGGGGACGCGCTCGTGACGGCGAGCCAAAGGGTTAGCCGAGTGGATGTCTCGGTCGCACGTGACGCAGAGAGCAGCCGCGTCTGCCTTGCACGTGACGTGAGCTGGCGCTTGCTCGCACACTTCGCACATCCACACGCGCGCATGTCTCGACGCCAGCTTGTTCGCCGCGTGGACCTTCGAGTCACAGCTGAGACACAGAAACGCCGCGTCCGGACGGCAGTATAACGCCGCCGTCGCCGATTTGCACGAGTCGCAGAGCTTTGACGCCATTTCTCTCTCTCTCTCTCTTTTTTCTCTCTTTCTCTCTCTCTCTCACTATTTTTCTCTTCTCTCTCTCTCTGTCACTCTCTCTTTGTGGTTGGTGCTGCTATGGCTTCACATGAGCGTGTCCATGAGTCTATCCATGTGGGTCCCAGGGGCATCCATCTAGATCAAATGAAACGAGGACACGTGGTAAAATCTTAGCCAAACAACATTATTCATTAGAAGGAAAAATACTTGGCATGAAAGTTCTGACTATGCACAAAATGAGCTTTTGTCTTCTTTTGTTGTAATCATGCTCTCTCGTTTATCTACTTGTAATCATAATTCTGAAGTCGTCGACATTTGGCAACAGGTGTTTTTATTGCAAATAATGCGTATCAAATTTGTCAAGGATTTTAAAAAAAGCGTTATAAACTTTTACACAAATTGCTCATTTTGCAAAAAAATAAAAGGAGAAAAAGAAAGTTGAATTATTGTCAAGAATCATGGGTTGAGATGCTTTCTACTTCGAGTCTCAGGACCACCACGAGAAGTAGCCATAAATGGAGACGATGCCGTGACTAAGGTGTGGATAAAGTAAATGGCTGGTTGGGTATGTCGGTCAATAATGGGTCAATAATGGGTCAAAAATGGGCCTTTAATTAGACCCAATGATTTTCGTTATAGAGCCCTTTTCTCCCATGCTGATATATTGTTCATATTTTGTTACTCACCAATTGGCCCATTATAGTCCAACACTAAACCATCAGTAGAATCATAGTTCTGTTCCATCAACAAATAAACCAACTCACCTTAAATAGTTTATCAAATACCATTTATATCTCTTTCTATTGATATGTTATTTATTTTATTTTTTATGAAAATGGTAAAATCTATGTACCGTTCGAAGTACTTATATGCTGATGGCTTATATGTGTCAATGAGGTTCGAAGTACTTATACGCACCTTAAAGAGTTCAACAAGTACTTATATGTCTCTGTGAGGTTCCAAAATTGAAAATAGAGTACCATGCAATTGCAATAATCAGTTTTTTTTTTATAAGTCGTAGATATGATAAATATTTCTCTTTTCTAGTTGGTGGGTACGCATATCATAAATCTACACACACCCAAAAAAAAGTTCAAATACAAATGTTGAAAGTTGAAACCGTCCGAATCATATATCTCTCTCGCTCTCTCTCTCTAAAGTTGATTATAAATGAGGAGGAGCAATAAATATGATAGATGTAACCAGAGTCGCATCGCCGCGTCAGTGTTGCCACCAAATAATAACTCTCATATACAACTGTTCCGACAATTACTGATGGACACTTTTGTACCTTTTTCGAAACCAGTGTACTGACACGTGTCCATATTATGACGTCACCATCTCTTTCTCAATGTGCTTTTCCCGCCAACCGATAAAAGCATGCCGACGACAGAAAAACCATGGGAGTCCGCGTCACCAATAAATATCAGTCCAGTATATATGAGTTACGATCTCGCCATAAAATGATCGTATCGTACTTGCTCTCGTACTTTCCTCAAAAAACTGGTTGACTTGAAAACATACTAAAATCTCTGTTGACCACAACAACAAAAACGAAAATCACTTTTCTAGAAATTCATACTTTTTGTTTCTAAATTTAGAATTAAATTTTTCTAAACAGATTTTTTTTTCCAATGGCAAATGATTGGATTAAAAGTAAAACTTTTTGGAAAGAAAAATTTTTACTTGATGATGAATTATAAATGTTTTCAAAACGCGATTCCACCTATCATGGATTATTCACGAAATTTTGTACAAACTGATAAAAAATGCTTTTTCTCCTTTATTTTGCGCCTTCTAAAATTATAAATAAGTTTTTAAAAAATCAATTTTAAATTGTGTCTTTTAAAAATATACTCATTTTCTTAAATTTATTTACACTAGGTAATTATTCCATTGATTTGGCTATTCTCAACTTCAGTTATTTAGCTATTCATATATTACAAATTAAACGAGTATATTTTGAATCTAGTTTTTTTTTTTTGGGTTAAATACTTGGTGTTAGTTTGTAGCAAAATAATTTTATACAGAGAAACCCGAAAACAAGTCAAATGTTTTGTTCACATTTACTACTCTAATTGGGATTTACAAGTTCAAGGTCGATAAAAACAGAGGAAAATAATTCCAACAACAACAACCAAAAAAAGGGACCAAAAACCAGAGGACGAGAACTGACAAAAAAAAAACACTCTTTGAGAACAGAGCTCACAGGTTTTCAGAAGAAAACGACGACCCTTCAGTTACTGTAGATTCCCCCATTTGCCCTTCTTTACTCTCCGTATTTACAACAATTTCGCCACCACTGATTACACAGTCCACTTTAGTGACACGAGTCTTGGCGGTGACCGGAGTGGCCAAGAAGGTGGGTTTGTTTTGTCCAGCCATGATCACAAGAATCTTCTCCTCGAAAACTTTAGCCACCACTTTCTCACCGGACTCTGTCTGTTTCTCGCCGTCACCGTCGTTTCTCCGCCGCGAGAGCGTCCAGTAGGAGCAGGCGAGCAACAAGAGAGCAAAGGCGATGAGTCCAAGCATCGCTGCCAAACCACCGAATAGGTAAGGAACCGGTGAACGCCATGGGTGCCGCGTCTGAGACTCCACGATTGTTGACATCTTCTGATCTGTTATGCTTGGAAATTCCCTCATTGTTTTTTTCAATAAAAAAAAAAAAATGTTTTAGTTTTTTTTATCGAGAAGCTTGTTTGATTTGCTTGGAGTGGTTTACAGTTTATTTATAGTACTAGCAGAGAAGAGAGAGAGAGAGAGCTGTAAATATTTCACAAAATGTCATTTCTCTTTTTTCTATTAAACAAAATTATTAGAAAACAAATTTAAAGGTAAGTGGGTCACGGAATCCCCATGATACGTTACGTTGCTTTGATCATGCACCAGGTCCGAAGATATTTTAATAATGTGTTTTTATATTTCGATATAACGTTGATTTTTTTTATATATCTTAATTTTGGTTTAAATTCGATTATAACTATTTCAACAAATGATGGACAGACTTGAAGCACATATCAATGTGAACAAGATCAAATGGTTTGCTGCTCATATGAATATGTTTTGGTGTATAAAGGATGACAAACTTTGCACTGAATTTTTGCATTATATTTCTGTCTAGGTAAAAAATAACGATATATGGGCTGTAATACCTTTATGCCAAGCATTATTTTTTTGAAGTCGTAGTAGCTATAACAGGAGAAAAATTGTAGTAAAAATTTATGTACACTAGTATAGTTTAACAACTTGTAAATCTATTCAAATCATTAATCCATGTGTAGGATGATGACGAGCACAAAGAATTTCTATCAAACCATGGTTTTGGTCAATGAACCGGCACTTCAAAGTTAAATTTGAACTGAACAGGTAAAGAGCAATCCTGGAAAACCAAATTTCTACCCAAGTTAGTTTTTTTAGACCAGAAATACTGACAAGAATTCAATTAGGCAAAGTCAGAAGTGTATTTTGTGTGTCTAAAAATGCATTCAATATCTTTATCATAATGGTGTTAGGATTTTAGGTTTTTAGAGCACTGCATCCTAAATACTCAAAACTCTGGCCTTTGTGGTAATAATTTTTTTTTTTCGACTAAGAACTTTGGGGTTATAACTTCTTTATCAACATCATATTAGCGTAAAAGTTTTAAAATAATGGGAAAGATCAAAAGAAACATCACAATTGATTATTTGGACTACGGAATATTAACTGGGCCCAGTGTGTGTTTTATTCGGGCCCATGAAATTCACATGGCCATTTGTTATTACGCTAGGACAGGGCAGGGGTGTCTGTGTCTTTTAAATGTGCTATTTGGATATGATTTGCCGTTAACAGTAAATTTTATATTGGTTTACTTTTTATTATTCCACAACAACAATCCATAGTTGGAAGGGAATATGAATATATCATATTTAAATCATTAGTAAACCCATAAAAAATGTTATCTAAACAATATCTACATTTAGTCTGTCCCGTACAATGTTTAATGTATACGATAAAGGGAAATGCATAAACCATAGGATGGATAGAAATGAAATAATGACAATGGATAAAGTGGGAACCAAAAGAGGATGGATTCGCTCTTATTTATGCATTTTTTTTCATGGATTATGTCATTTCTCTAAAACATATTTATGGGTTATGCTTTCACTCATCAATTATCCGTTGTAAGAATTCAAAAATTGAGAATCAATTTATAAATTTTCTTAACACTTCTTTGAATTTTGTTTCGCCAAACCCGCTAAATATACACATACATGGTGATTTCAAATATTGGTATTATTGGTAATTTGTTCTCTAACCCTAATCAAGCATAGTTTAGAAGCATACATATTCATTTTATACTAAAATACAAAATTACAGATTCGATATAATATAGCCGATCGTGATCAAAAATAAAACAAACTAAGAATAATATATATATTCGCTACTTGTGTTCACTATATTTCATTATTTCTCCATGCATGAAAAATTGAAAAGACGGTTCCGTCGGTGAAGCAATTTAGCTTAGTGATGATCTCTAGTAATGTATTAGATACTGAGATTATTAACTTTTTAGTCAAAATTTATTCTATTACATTTGATCATAACTAAGCAAAAGTAGATAACTACATATTCAATCAATCGAGTAAAGTTCAATTGTAGTTTTAGGCTGGGTACATTATTACATATACATATATATATGTATATATGTATATATGTTTCAAAGCTTTACTTTTAGCTGTGCGATGATACATGAACGAGAATATTTGATGGAGTTGGAGGAGACATGACAACTTGACAAGAGAATTAGGGATTGTCAACTTGCGGATCTTTCTCCCATATATATATAAGATACTTAGATACATATTAGGGTAAAGTAAAACATGCACTTTCAAAACATTGGACCTATTCAAACATATAAATGTATGTCTGTATCAGATGTGCATTGGCATAATGGCATACATTAATACTTACATAAAATTTATATCATACGTGCATCAGAGCATACTATATAAATACAATATATTTTATTAATCATTTTTGTCTTCTTTTTCAAATGAATAAGGATTTCCCTCATATTAAATTAATATCCCAAACAACTACATATAACTTTTAGATATTTTAACAAAAAATCTAAAGTATTATATATTTAGTTCGTATATTTATATTCTAACTTTAAAGCCGTCATTTACTATTATTTTCATTTATTCAATAATATATTATACTAGTTTGAACTCGGATGATAGACACATAAACAACACTGTAAGTCTGTAACAAATTTGTGTTTAGAATTTGTGTTCTGCCATATATTAATCACAGTAACTACTAACTAGTAAAATCTAACAGCTAGTTAAATCTTGTTAGATCTTGTTAAGAAAATGTATTTTGATTTTCAACCGATTAGATAAGATCATATATTCGAAATATTATCATCCAATTAATAAAGCAAATACAATATCATTCACGTATGCAATCTTCCATTTCAATTAACCATTTATCATTTCTAACCCTTTTTCGTCTTGAATCTCATTCTCTATAATCGCCAAAAAAAAAAAAAATTCATAAATTTAGTGGTTACCAATCGTACCCATAGAGAATTCCATCACACCTACTTTAATTTTTTTTTAATAAAAAAATAGCTAACTAGAAAAGCATGATATTTTTAGAAGAAAACATAGATTCTTAATTGGAAACCGTATGAGTAGAAGGAACACTCTTGTATAAAAATATTCTATTTTCCACCACCGCAAAAGCATTTAAAGTTACTCTCTCCATTCACTGATTAGTAAACAACCTGTTGGTTAAGCCGAAGGGTCATATCTTGTTGATCACGACTCCATCATGTGAAACATAATTATAAACATATATGTGTTTTGAAACATATATGTGTTTTGAAACACTCTTGTATAATGCACATATATCCTGACATATAAACATATATGTGTTTTAAAAAAGTATGCACATATATACATATAATGATAATGATAGTTATAACATGTGGACGCGAAAGCGATTGATCAAGCAATCCCATAGATAGATAGACAGGAGATATTGATTTGTGCTTGCCGGAGAGATTCGTTTCCACGTACATGGGAGAGGATTATAGATTTACTGTGAAGCCAGAGAATTATTTATTTATTCATATAACAAAAGTCATGAACTATTCGAAATCTGGTTGTGAATCAAACTTAGATACGAATATATTTCTGTCTGTATCGATATATCGATCTGTTAATATGACTTTGTTGAGACATCAAGAATCATATCTTGCTTGTCTTCTTTATTTCATTTTTATATTTTATGTCACCTCAGTCTAGTAGTCTATACATCACTTGAGGTATGTGTGTACATATATTTGTTTATACATACATAAAAATACAATATATAAAAAGTAAGGGTATCAAGTTGGAGGATAATCAATTATAAAATTTGAAGTCAAGTTCACAATTGTTAGCCATTAATTTCAGATTTCCAACGGTCTAAGGATTCAGTTTTGTGTGTTTAGGTTGTTAATATTTATCAGTGCTTCTTCGTCCACAAATGTTCCAAGAGTAAAACAAAAACCAATAGAATTTGTTTTTTTTGTTTATCAATTACCAAATTTGTTATTTCTACAAATGTATATCTCTAATTTTTTAAAAACTATACATACATCTCTAGAAGACTAAGCAAAACAAGACAGAGACTAAATCCCAAAACTTTTTTTACTTGGCCTTCACATTTTATATACACACAAGCCACTCTAGCTACAAACAAAACAAACTGTTTTTCTTTGGAGATTCTCTTCCTCTGTGATTCGTCTTTGAAGAAATCCTAACTCTCAACGGATAGTTCGAGGAAAACGGTCGGTACGAGAAACCGGCTCACCGTCTTTCGGTTTACTTCCAGTTCCAATTATAGTTGGGCTGGTTCATGTATTGGTTTCTTTTCTATCCTTTAATTGCAATTGGGCTGACTCATTAACTGGGCTTGAAGCATATGTGAATTTTTCTTTCTCCTGCTTGTGAATAGAAATATAATACTCTTTACAATTTTTTTTAAAAGAAAAAAACTCTCTATTTGAGCTGGTTAATACAAACTCTCTATTTTTTTGGTTGGTTGCTAAAATACAAACTCTCTATTATTTTCCTTCTTTTTTTAGATCGAGCTATTTGAGCTGTGATTTGTGAATACAGAATGATTCTTTGTAACTTCAAACCGTATAGTGAATTGTTAGATAAGGACATGGCCAAGACATACGATGTGTTTCTCAGCTCTGCTATTGTTTCTATGCTTCAACAGTTTTTGTTTCTCTTCAAGTGTGTCTTTCAATCGTATCAACTATCAATCACGTAATATGTAACTAAACAATTTTTTTTTTACCCAAATGTTCAGAATAAAAATACTGTCACTAGATGACATGATATTTACTCGATAGACTTGATTTTGACCTTTTTTCTTCTAGTGCTCAATAAAGACATGGGTAAAATATACAGTAAGCGAAATATTGCACTCGTTTTCTCGGACACATGCAGTAAATCGATGCAATATTGGCCATCCTATTTTGGCAGATCGATTACAGATAAACACTTGCAAAATTCATAATACCTTGCTCTTGCTGCCAAATCAGTTTCCATTAGAAACATAATTTTGAGGATAACTTTTTGCTCTTGACGACGAATCTTCATCATAGTTTATTGCTAATAGCGACAAATTATGATATTTATTTATTGCTA